CTGCCAGACTTGATTTGATTACATAAAAGCGTTGTGTGTATTTCTAAGGTAAATTTTAGATACCCAGGCATATTCTTCTCCATGGCGGAAATACAAGGCCAAGGGGTCAACTTAATTACTAACTGTAAGCATACAAAGGGCTTCAATCAGGAGAATATGGAGTAGTTATTCTACAAGTGCAAAGGAGACTAAACAAGGAGAATGACCTTAAAATGGGAAATGTGGTAGCTGTACATAAAGAAAGCCTGTACCTTGGGAATTAAGAACATTTAGCTACTCCTTGGGTATAGTATGGGTCTCACAACCCACCTAGGAGGGATGGTGGCTGGAGGGAGGGCCGGGCTTTGCCTTTCCTTCCCTCTATTGCCCCTATCACCAGAGCAACTCTGTTTCTGCATGTGGCTTTATTTGAAACTGTTCAGCTACTTAAAAGTTTGAAAACTAGTGTCTTAGGTGTTTAAGTCTGTCTAAAGCCTCTGAGCTGCCCTTTTCACTTGTATCTGCTGTCCGTTTGTTGCAGGCTTGGGACTCACAGGCGAATGAAGTTAAGCAGTTGATGTTGGAACTGTTTGTTCATTTGAACTGTTTGTACCACCCATACCAGTATTCAGAAGGACAGTTGACTGTATTTATACTCTGTTATCTCTCTCTTTCTTTTTTTCCTTTGGCCACACCACGCAGCTTGCAGTATCTCAGCTCCCCAACCAAGGATCGAACCTGCGCCCTCGGCAGTGAAAGCGAGGAGTCCTAACCCCTGGACTGCCAGGGAATTCCCTGTATTATCTCTTTTAAGATGTAAATTTTTCTAACTTGTGTCATAATTTAACTCACAACAGTTCTTTTCCTTCTTAGTAATACAGAAAATGATTTTGCTTTTATAAGTAATAGCATTGTAATTTTGATGAAATATGGTATATTTAGTGCATAAAATGCCACACTCATAAGGGTAAAACTCCCATGAGATTGTTTCTGCTTTTCGTTTCCATGGAGGTGACAGTAACACCAGTAAGCCAAACTATGGCTATCTAATAGTAATTCATGTTTGACCTTAGGCTGTGTGTTTACGTTATTCTTGAGAAAGGTATCATATTTAACCTTGTAGCCCTGGCATCTAGCACAGTGCCTACCATTTAATAGAAGACCAAGTTCAGGTAGTTGACATCTGTTCACATCTAAGATGTGAGAAGAAGAAGAAAAAGCCAGAGAAAGCAGTGGGTGAATAGGATGATTCTTTATGAACGTCAAGTGAGAATAAATGTCAAAAGAAGAATCAGGTCACCATTTAAAGATGCTACAAAACTCAAGGACAGTGGAGACAAAGAAAAGCCATTGGATTTGGAGATTTGTTTTGTCAGTGGAACCCGAGACAGAAGTTTTAGTAGCAGTGGGAGGGAGTAGGCGCAAAACCTTTAATTGTTCAAATGGCTGGTAAGGAGGTAGAAGGGAAGGAAGAGGAGGGCAGACAGAAAGGGGTTTCGGGGGTTTACAGCAGGATTTCTCAACACCAGCACCACTGGCAGTTTGGGCCCGATGATTCTTTCTTCTAGGGAGCTGTCCTGTGCATTGTAGGACCCCTCCCCATCCCCAAGTTGTGACAACGAAAAATGTCTCCAGACGTTGTCAGATGTCCCCTGGGGGCTGGATTCCTCAGAGAGAATCGCTGGTCTGCAGGGCTGAGTAAAGATTGCTGCTGCTGCTGCGGGCACCTGTGCAGTAATCCCTTTTCCTGCCTCTGCTCTGTCTACTGGTGAGGTTTTCATGGTACTTGCAGGTGGATGGGGAAGGAGCTAGTCCAGAAGCAGGTGGAAAACTGCAGGCATCCAGGGGGTGATTACCGAGCCAGTTACCTAAGGACGGGGGTGTGGAACAGAGCAAACCCACTGCATAGAGAGGTGCCCTGAAGTTAGAGGAGACGGGCACAGGCATTTTTGGGTGGATTGAAGATGGGTTTAGTTCATGTTAGATGGCCTCAAGCTTTTCACTAAGATGGGAGAAAAGGTCACCTGAGAATGAAGTAGACAAGGTTAATGTTAGGCCTTTGAGGAAATTATAGAACATTTTGGTAACCCCCGTGGGGATGGATTAACACACATGAGTAAGAAGCATTACAGAGCAGCAGCGAGGCCTGGCTGAATAGGAACTTTAAAAAATTATTTAAGACATTAATTAAAATCCCAGAGAAGAAGAAAACCTATAACCCAACCACCCTGACACTATTTTTATTGTGCAGTTTACTGTCTATGCTTATAATTTTGCTCTTTTTATTTTGCTTATTTCACTGAATATAGATTTCAATGTTATTGAACTGTTTTTTCAGTTATATTTAATGGCTCCATAATAGTCTGTAGATCTGTTCTTTAATTTACCAAACATCCCTCTAGTTACTGACTCGGTTAGGGTGTTTCCGGTCTTTAGTACTATTACACCTAATGTTTCAGTAAACATTCTTAGTCATAGAACTTTGCCAAGTGGATCCAGCCAAGGTTTTATACAGTGTTGAATACAGAGCAGACAGTGCATTGGCTTAAATGTCACCTCAGTGAGGCCTTCCCTGACCCACCACATTTCAAATTGCAGCCCTCATCTCTGGTTTATTTCCTCCACCACACTTGCTGTCTTCCAGAATTCTAGGTGTTTTATTTATCTTGATTGCTTTTGTCTCCCTTGCTAGGTATATATGCTTCAACAGGACGAGGATTTTCGTTTGTATCACCAGCACCGAGAATACTGGCACAAATACTTGTTGAATGGTGGGGTTTACCCAGACCTACAGGCACGATGGGTTTGAAGAGTGTCAATAGCAGCAGATATTCATGGAAGCCAGTGGGAGAATAATTGCATTAACTAGTCTTTGGTTTCTAGGTGGGCTAGGAAGTAACAAAAATCCACAGGGACGATGAATTGGGAGATTGAAGGGCTAGCACTTGTGGCAACAAAAGCACATTCTTCTGGAAGGGGAGAGCATGGGAGAGGTGGGAGATAAATAGTTTGTGGTCACAGAAGGGAATTTCCCAAGGTTTAGATATTAGAAAAGAAGCAGTTTGAGAATTAATAGTGGCAAGGTTGGTAGAAAACTCCATCTTGCTGGGAATGGACTGTATCACTATTTAATTGCCCCTCCCTTGGCAAACAGTTCCCTCCTAGCTTGTTGTATTTGGTTCACACTCAGTGGTGGTGTATAAATCAAGTTTTGTTTTCAAATACCTTTTTTTTTTTTTAATTGGAGCATGGCTATAAGTGGTAATCTGAGTAAGCAGATATGCCAGTAATGCCTTGTCAAGACAGTTGAGCAGAGTTAGTGACAATGTCAACCCAAGCTCCAAAGTTGAATTTACAGAGATGTTGCCTCCCCCTCACTTGGTGGAGCTGATTGACTTCTTGAGTCATTCAGTTGAACTTCTAAGTGACTATCTTTTAGGTACTTTTCTATTTGAGGTCACTTTGCTCAGTGTAGAGCAGCTTGGTAAATGCATGAAACATTTAGCATAGCATATGCTAAGTTCATTTTAAGCAACTGTTTGGGAGTCACTCTTGAGTATGGAAATTATAATTGTTTTCTTTTGGATCAGCCTTAATTGTTACCTTCAGCCAGTGCATGACCCTCCAGTTTGTTATAGGTTTTCCACTATAGCATATTTTTAGCTTTCAAATTCCAGTTATTCTCTGGTGAATTGTTAAGAACTGACAGGTATGATTTAGTAGACAGAACACTGGAGAGAGAGTTGAAGTAATGTTTCCCTCTCATATTTGTCAGTGGATGGCATGTCTATTAGTTCTTAATTCTTTAGTTTTATTTTTTATTTTAAAACATGATAATGATCTCAAACACTACCTTCCGCCTTCTTCCAGAATCTCTGGGATACCATATCAGCGTACTGGTTCATTAGAACCACGTAAAGAGATTTCATGTTTTGAGGCCTATCCCAGAAATGCTTTTTTACATACCTGAGCATTTGTCGGCTTTATTTGAATATGAGGTGTATCTATAATGATGTGAGTTGAGCAAAGTTGTTTGTCTTTTAAATTTAAAGTTATAGCTTAAAGTTCTTGGAACCAAGTGCTTCATTCAAAATAGGATTTGATAATTATATTGACAAGTATAGTATGATAAGGCATTATAATATTGATAGTTTTCCTCTATATAGTTGACTTTGAGAATTTTGAGAGTGCTTCCTCCACCTATCTTTAACAAAAATTGGAGTGCCCTTGCACGGATTGGATTGATTAGTTCTTCCCTTCCCAATATGATCAACTGCATTTAGCATATGGTATAACCCATTTTAAGAGAAACGCTTCATAAGTCTTGCTTTTTTTGAAAACCAGGGCAAAACCATCCTCCTTACATTTCCTCATTATTTGGTTGTGAGCATAATATTAACTATTTTAGGATCCCAGTCTTTTCTTGGTCTTGATCAAAAGAACATCCTTAGGGAGGAATCCTGCAGTTTTCATTTAGCCCATTTATGACCTCTTATGAAGAGAATGAAACAGTTAGTTATATGCCTGAATTACTGGGGAACTGTGCAAACCAAATTTCTGCTGCAGAGCCTCAAAGAGCAATGAGGTTCAAAATTTTTCATAAGACTTAGAGGGTGGGCTTCCCTGGTGGCGCAGTGCTTGAGAGTCCGCCTGCCGATGCAGGGGACAGGGGTTTGTGCCCCGGTCCGGGAGGATCCCACGTGCCATGGAGCGGCTGGGCTGGTGAGCCATGGCTGCTGAGCTTGCGCGTCCGGAGCCTGTGCTCCGCAACGGGAGAGGCCACAACAGTGAGAGGCCCACGTACAACAAAAAAAGCAAAAAAACAAAAACAAAAAAAAAACAAACAAACAAACAAAAAAAAGACTTAGAGGGTTAAACCTTTGCCTGGGAGGCAGAATACATATATATGTATATTGTATACACATATATATATATGTTATTATATAGTAATATTATAATATATTCATGTATATTATGTATAGAATATACATATATATTAACCAGAGTTTGCTTGCTTCCAGGGAGGATACTGGAGAACCAGACTCCTGGAGCAGTTTATCCTATGAAATCCCTTACGGAGACTGTTCTGTGAGGCATCACCGAGAGCTGGACGTCTATACGTTAACCTCTGAGTCTGAACCACACCAGGAACCCCCACTTCCTGGAGACAGTTGCACTGGACATATTTTTAAACTTATGAACATCCAACAGCAGCTAATGGTAAGACAGAAAATTTCCATTTTCAGGCTTTTGTGCCCTCACCCCTTCCCCCAATGAGCCTTACTATAATTAGAACATAACAGTGCTTCCCTCAAAGATTGTGAAACCTGTAAAGCAGTTTTAGCTATATTAGACGTTAGCATTTATAGAGACAGAGTTCAGCACTGGGGTAGTAGCAATAGGAGACTGCGAGAATTTTTCTTTTTTTTTTGCCAGGCTTTTAAAATAACGAAAGACACACATACACCTGGCAGATACAGAAATATGCAACAACTAGAACTAAATTTTCCTGGCTTAAAAGGAAATTTATTTAACTCTATAAATTTGTTGGTTTAACTTTATAAAACGAAATGAGCTAAACAGTTTCTGAGATTGTTGCTGAAGAATAAGAACCAAATCTACTCAGAAATGGAGCCTTTTCACAGCTATTTCAGTGAGTGATGACTGTGTTACTATATTTAAATTGGTAGTTGTGTGGTAAAAAGATCACTAAAACAATAAAGATTTTATAATCCACTCAGGCCTTCAAGATAAAGTTGTTGCCAGACATAAAAACATTACATACTCCCTGGTAGCATTTATTATGGATAATATAAACGTCACATGGGTACATCTGTCTTGGCCACGACATCTGAAAGGCTAAGTTTAGATAATTTTTCCACCCATTTTATTTCAGAGTTGATTTGATTTGGAAAAAGCTTGGCAGTAATTTCATTTAAGGTCATCTGGGGTCAGCTCAGCGCCAGAGCCTTCTTTGGGAGCAGGCCTTGCTTGTTTCGGAGAGCAGCAGGCCAGGACACTTCATAGCAGGTTGTAGATGTACCTGCCTCTGCCTCTCCGAGTCATATTTGTTCCAGAATAGGTGTCATTTTATTTTCCTCTGAAGAGACTGCCGGAAGGTCAGGTTTTCCTTTAGGGCTCTTCTTACTGGGTGAATGATAGTCCATTTGAAAACAGCACTTTGTAGATGCCAAAGCTACCTGCAAGGTGTGGGAATATTTTACAGGAAACCATGAGAAATTAAAACTGAGAAGATGCTTGTGTTAGGAGCATCTAAAATTTTTCAAGCAAGACAACTTTTTTCTGCAAATCTCTGTTCTGTAATGTTCACCCTTTATTAAATTTAATGACCTGCTTTCATAATTTTTTTGGAGTCAGTTACACTCTCAGCGGGAAGGGAAGCAAGCCATTTTGAATACCCTAAGGAGCATAGCACAGACGCTTTCAGTGAAAATTCATTTCTCGTGTACTCTATTATTAGAAGGACTTTAGTGAGCGTAACTCGTTTTACACTTACGTGTGTGAACTTTTACATCAGACCCAGTGAGTAGACAGGAATCGGCTGATGATGGAGTACTGTAAGTGCTCGACACAGGAACTGAGTGGGTAAGTGAATGAGATGACAGTGCGTGGTGGATTTGCGTGAGATTCTTGTAGTAGATCAGATAATGAGCGAAGAGCAAACCAGGTGTTATAAAAATAGTTTTGGGACTTCCCTGGAGGCCTGGTGGTTAGGATTCTGCGCTTTCATTGCCGTGGCCTGGGTTCAACCCCTGGTCAGGGAACTGAGATCTCGCAAGGTGCGCAGTGCAGCCAAAAAAAAGATAGAGAGCAAAATAGTTTTTATGTGTTGAAAAAAATAGTATCATTTTAAGGATTCCTGAAATTTTGATATAAAGGTAAACCCACTCTAAAGATCAGCTGTGTTTGTTTTTCTCCATTTTTTCCTAAGCCTTATCTACGTGTACTTGTAGTTTTTGCATAATTATAACCTTAGATTAACTGTAAGTTTTGTTTATTTTCTTAAACATTATGTTATAAATATCTTTTCCTTATTTCACTGTGGTCTTCATAGTTAACACTTATATAACAGCGTAGCATTTTCCATCAGGTTGATTAACCATGATTGTTTTAACCATTCCTGTATAGTTGGTTACATCTGTTTTTCAAGTTGCAAAAACTATTTTTGAGATGACCTATAATATCCTCAAAGCACAGTACCATCTGAGAATAATCAAGAATTAGGTACTACTAGTTCAGTATATTCTTATTTATTTAATATTCAGTATTAGAGGAACTGCTTTTATCAAGAAGTAAAAGAATCGACCGTGCCACTCTTTTTGAAATTATAACCCCATAACTAAAATTGTTAAACTAGATTGAACGGAGCATATTTTGGAGTTTAAAGGATGCTGTGTAACTCCTCAGTGAGAATTTAGGGCATGGGAGCATATGTCTGTGCCTTGTGATTGAAGAGAGTTTACCAGACTGGCCAGGATTTGTTTTTACTTGTATATATGAGGTGGGATGGAAGCAGCCTCTGCCCCTCTAAAGCCCCTATAAAAAGTATCTTTCTCAGCTGCTCATTTGAAGATAGCCACTGAGCTTTTTTGAGGCTCAGTTTTTATCTGTTTTCTAAAATAAGTTCATAATATAGAAAAGAGTCATATTGTATTATTCTTGCCATTTTTTATCATTCTAGTGGATATGCAACTATAAGAGGAAATTAATGTCAGGAACAAGAGAGAATTTAGTTTTATTTAGGTTGGCTTATCCTGTGACTTGAGAGGCTGGAATGCTACTGAGTTCTCTCCAACAGAATTTTTGCTTATAGGTGTCAGTGACATCTTTTCCCCCGGACAATTTTTTTTTAAATATCTTCCATTTCCTCCTAGAAAACAAACCTCACACAGATGGACAGTCTTATGCCCTCAGTGGTGACAGCACAAGAACCTTCAAGTCTGCCCAGTGACCAAGATACAGATGGTCAGTTTCTTCCCTGTGCATCAGAGCCCACAGCCAGCCAGCAGCTTGCTTCTCCTGAAGGTGCTGAGAGCTCTCAGTGCTGCCATGGGAGCACTGTGGGGCAGACTGAAAGTTCCTATGATTTGTCAAGTGTGGTTAAGGAAGAGAATACAGACTCTTCCTGTAGGAAGAAAAATACAGGCGTGGAGAGAAAAGGAGACGAGGTGGAGCCAGCACCTATCGTGGACTCTGGGACTACGTCTGATCCTGACAGCTGCCGTCAGAGCACACCTGATTGCAAAGGAAAGGACACAGAAGGCCTTCCATCCTGTGGAGTCAGAAATGAAGAAACTGGAACAAAATCTTCGGCAATGGCCACAGACCAGGAGTCTCCAGGCAGTGGAGGCCACGTCCTGCAGGGAGGCGTAGCCCTGGAGCCCGGCATGGCCCAGTCTTTCTCTGGAGGTGGACTGGTGGTCCCATCACCAGCAGGTGCCAGCGTCCCAGACACTGCAAGGGAAACGGAACGCAGTCTCGTGAACCCAGAGGCCACCATCCAGAGGAATGTGCTTGCAGCAGGGGAGAGTATGAAGGAAAGATTTGAGGACTCCAATATCAGCACAGCTGGAGCCTCTGACCTAAAAGTCACAGACGAGCCTATGGATAAAGCCAGTGTTCCAAATGGTGTCTCTGCCTCTGGCTCCCTGGTTGCTGACAAGCCTGCTGAGTCTTTACTTGTCGTTAGTGATGAAGAAACTGCCATTGATGAAAACACTGCAGAAACGGAAACTTCTAGAAGTTGTGAAGAGAGTGCTGATGCTCCAGGGGCTCAGAACTCTCAGTTAATTCTAGCTGCTGCAAAAGATGAGATTTCAGAAGGCCTCGAACTTGACACTCCCTTAGCCAGCATGTGTGTGGCGTTGTCACCCTCTGATTTAACCTTTCCCAGGCCGCAAAAAGATGTTATGCCAAACCAGAAATCAGAAACGGATTCGTCTCATGTTCAAAGCCAAAACAGCAAATCACCCGTCTGTTCTACAACTGGAGATGATAAACTTTGTGCTGCCTCTGCATGTCGACAGAACACGGGGACTTCTAGTGGTGTGTTGGCTGTAGAACACTGTGATGACATAGTTACCCAGCCTGAAGGCACCACCACAGGGCTGCTCAACACACAACCACTGCCCACTGCCAGCCGCTTGGAAGGCCCACAGGCTAACACGGTCACCCCTGACCCTGATGGAGACACCCAGGAACATGTGGATTTTTGTCCTCTCCAAGTTTTGGATAAAGAAAGCCAAGGAAAAGATTCGAAACTAGAAACATCTTTAGCAAATATGCTTGAGGTAGTTCCACATCCACATGCTCTTGTCCCCAAAGCTGAGAAAGAACGGGTGTCAGACCAGGCAGTGACATCAGGCAGGACTTTCTCTCTGCCAGGCAGTCCCGGCAGTGAATCAGTAACCAAAGATGACGCATTTTCTCTTGTCCCCTCCTCCCAGAATGAAAAAGGAACAGCAACTCTTGAACCACATACAGACTGTAGAGATGGCCCAGATGGAGATTCGAATGATCTGGAGAAGCAGCCAGCAGAAGACAGTGTAGCGGGCCTGTGCACACCCTCCTCTGCTCTAGATCTTCAGCCCAGCATGGGCAATACCAGTCCCGTAGGACCTGGTGCGGAGTGTGAGCGTCCCTGCCTCTCAGCAGACCCTGAAGTCCTGAATATCGTCGAGGGGGTCACTGACTCTTCCCTGCTCCATGTGGGTCAGGCCGCTTTGGCCTCTGATTCCGCTTTGACTGAAGAAGGGAAAGATCAGGTGGTTCCAGAGAGCACTGCAGCTCAGGGACCAGAAGACAAGGATAAAGCAGTGACCTGTTCCTCCATTAAGGACACTCTTCGTTCAGGAACGTTGCAGGAAGAGCCGAGAACACCACCCCCTGGACAAGAGGCCCCGGGATTCCATGAAGAACCTGGCTCAGCTGTCTGTGATGAGGACAGAGCTCCTCGGAACGGCAATTCACTGGGCACACCCTTGGCCTGTCTTCACGCAGAAACTAAACATAACAAGGAAGTGGCCCCACCAGTCGCACAGCTGATTGAAGGTGGGGCTGCACAGAGCCTGGTGCCACCAGGAGCAAGTCTGGCTGCAGACTCAAGCCAGGAGGCCTCAGGTACAGAGCAGAAGAGCTCACCTCCATTGCCAGATCTGTTACCAGATGGGTTCGAGGTTCTTAATTGTGAGCAATCTTCTGCTCTGGATGTTGAGGTGAAAAACACTCAGTCCCAGGGGAAGACCGCTGCTTGTGAGGTGAGTGGAAATGCGGCATTGGATGGTGCCGTGGTCGGTGCTCTGCCAGGCACCACTGGGACCGGGAGAAAGGATATACCACACAACGCTCCAGACATCCAGATTCCGCAGGTCTCTTCGAGCCAGGAGAAGAATATGATCCTGGGTTTGCCGGGAGCTTTACCGGACAAAGGTGTGACTGACCCTCAGGGCGCCGCACCCCCAGAGGTCGTGTCCCTGGGTTGGGAGAAGGGGAAGGTGGGGGGAGCAGATGGCAGCCGTAGCACAGGCGACTCCAAGGAGACACAGGTGGATGAGGAAGCGCATCACGTCCCGCCGCAGCCTGCTGCCAAAGAGCACCCCACAGAGACGGAGCTCTCAAGCCGTGGTGACAAGGCCCCAGGCAGGGGAAGGGATGCTGCCCCTATGCCGTGCACCGTCGCTGCCAAAGCCGTGCTTCTGCCTGAGACAGCAGACTTGATTGAGGAGGCTGCGAGTCGCCTAGTGGATGCTGTCATAGAACGAGTCAAGGCCTCGGGAGAACTGATGACAGAGGGGGAAATCAGTCACATGTCACTGCCCTGTCCTTCTGAGGCGGGCCCAGGGGCCGAACAGCTGGAGAGTGCTTCTGCAGGGAAGGCGAGTGCTTTCCAGCCTGCGGAGACCCTGCCAATGGGCAGTAGTCGTGGAGAAGCCTCTGGGAACCTTGCAGGATGCTTTGCTGGAAGGGAGGAGCCAGAGAAGATTATTCCGCCTCTCCAGCGACCAACTCCGGCAACAGGTAAGCAAAGTAGAGTACGAAATAAACAGTTCGAGAAACAAATTCCCGTAAGAGTCTCTGTGATGTGCTGGTATAAACATAGGTGTCATGTTGTTGTTTAGAGGTCTGGCGTTCATCGGATAGGTTGCCAAGTTACCAGTCAGCACCATCCGGAGAGGCACGTCATCTCAGGGTTGGGCAGTTTTTGCTCCCTGCATTCCAGACTTCTGGCTTGACTGCTTAAAACCTATAAATGCTCTATCGCACTGGTGCAGTCATGACTTTCCTAACCTGGAAAACAGTGCCTAGATCCCAGGTGCTCTAAAATGATAAAGGAATTTAGCAGATGTTTTTGTTCACATGGCATAGTCCTTTTTCTCGAGAACCATAACAAACAGTGCTGAAAAAGTGTGTTTTATTTACAAACCTGAAACTCCTTTCTTTCCCTATCATCCTAGTCTGTGTCTTGAGCAAATTTAGTCAGAGTGGTTTCACAAACAGCTCTAAGTATCGTTGTAAGCCGGTGGCCCAGCATCCCAAATGGTGGTATTAGGTCATTGGTGGAGGCTGTGAGAAGGGAACTCCCTCCTTTTCCTGCCTGAGGAGCAGACCTCCAGTTCCATTGCCTGTTGCTCTTGGGCAGCAGTCTGGGAATTGAGGGCCCTGCGAAAGGCAGGGGATAGGATACAGGATTTCCGCCAGAGCCTAGTCTGCTGAGCTGCTGTCACAGGGCAGACGTTGTGTCTGCTTATCTTGGTGAAGCAGCTGCAGCAAGCAGATTGCTCACACAGCACCAGCCCGTTCCGTCTGTGGGTAACCATGTCCAGAGAGAGCAAAGAGAAACCACTGGTGTTCAGTGGAAAGAAACGATCTGAATAAAACTCCTTATTGGGGGTTGAGGCTGAAGTTCAAACTGGAGTCAGACTCGGTTTTGACTCCTGAAGTCGTTCAAGGTCAGTTTGATTCAGACTTTGCGACCACCACCTGTTACCAGCTATAGACAGAGGACCTATCTCCTTGCTTGCCCCCAGGCTCTCGTAGGTAAGAAGCCTGTTTTGTTTTTATCGTTTGATTGCTCTTGCTGTTCTTTCTAATTTTTGAAAACCCCTTTACTGTAGTAGGTGTTAAGAATTGGGGGGTGGGGCATGAATAGAAATGAACAAATAGAATAAGGAGAGAAGTGGCTTTAGAAAAAGAGCAATTTAAACACAGTGGTCATTTTCCCTGATAGAGGGTGTTTAACCATTTATAATCTATTTTTCCAGTTGAGGGATTTAAGAAACCTGAGATAGTATTTTTGGTGATTTCACACTTTTTGTTTTATTAAAGTGTCTTGGATTGTTAGCAGCCAACAAATTTCTATCACTAACAGTCTCAGAATTTCAATGAGAAGGTCTGTAATTTTTAAAAGAAGGCACAACAGCAAGTCTATTTTGGGGGCCCTGGCAGGTTGACATTTTAGAAGAACGGGAGTGGCTGTAAGCTGATGCCTGCCTATGTTGTTTTCATTTGGGTGCTGCGTCTTTGGCCACATGGGCTGGAATTATTTCTCTTTCTGGCTCAGTAGTCAGAATTTAATCCAAGCAAGTACAAACTATGTAAGGTTTGTGTCTATAGTACCTTATGAGAAAAGATAGAAACCAAGCCGACTTTGATTTTTTTTTCAGACTTTGATTTTTAATAGCACACAAAGATAGTAAAGGTGCTAAGAAATTATGTTTAAGATTTTAAGGCTTTAGGAAGGAAAATGAGATGAAAATCAAGTTTCAACTGTGTCTCTGGGCTTGGGATTTCGGGGTGTGTGTGTGTGTGTGTGTGTGTGTGTGTGTGTGTGTGTGTACGAGTTATTCTGCTCTCCAGAGGAGTCATATGTGCTCCATGCTCATGGCCTCAAAGGACAGAGAGAAGTAACCAGTGATGAAGAAATTGGTGCTTTTTTCAGAAAATAGCTAGGATTTGGGGAAAGTCCCTGGTCACGTTGCCCTGGAGAAAAAGCACCTGAGTGTGATCTCAGACCAAAGGGTATTTTCTAGGAAGTTTACATTGCCATTTATGAATTTAACCATACTGTTTTATAAGTGAGGAGACGTCGGTTTAACTGCTGATTTGGAAGGAGCCACATGGCATTGGCTTTTGTTTTTATATACTGCTGTTGACAAAGCCAAGTAGAAATTGAGATGAGGAAAACACAAAACTTCCAGTTAGGGTGAGGGGACGTAGCCCTTTACACATCAGGAGCATTGGCCGCAGTGCTTTGGGAAGTTAGTTGTGCATAACTGAGCCAGGCCAGTCCCGAGGGGGCTGCCAACACCCCACGGGTCTCACTAATCTCTGTTTACCGCTGGGACTGGTTGCTACTTGCCAAGATACATATTTTCAGTTGATGGATGTAGGATAGTAAGGATGTGTCAGAAATCACATCCCCAAATAAATAAAATAAAAATCATCAACAGCCCCCCCCCCAAAAAAAAACAAAAACAAAAACAAAAAACAACCCTATCTTAGTCAGAAATGTTTTGATCAAGGAGTACTTCTAAGGGGGTTGCTTAGTCAGTTTTTTTTTTTTTTTAACTTTAATCACATTTTATGAAATGTAGGAAAGATTTTGGTTCTTTGGGCAAGGAAACGTGTTTGCCCATTTTTTTAATTGCTAGTAAGATTATGTAATTAAAAAATTAGGGCAAAGAAAGGAGACTTACAACTGTTCATTTATAGGAATGTCACTTTCCTAAATCTAAAGCAGACCTTTATACATCACAGTGTATAAAGGGTATACACTCTCACAGTGTGCTATTAAAATAAAATCTTAATATATTTTATTTATATAATTATAAAATACATAATACAATATAATATAATTTATTCTTTGGTGAAAGGAGCCTCTGCCCTCTGGTGTAGGGAACATTTTTCTCTGCCAGAGTAGTAGTGTGACTAGATTAATAACAACCACAGAAAATTTTCCAAAGGAAATCGAGATGATAGTTCCATTTGTATTTGGATTATCAAGGTGAATTTTGACTGTTCAACCATCAGTCCCCTTTAAAGAAGTGTTGAAGCCTAAACTTGCCTCAGGCATCATTTTATCACTTCCTTCCTGTATTAGCTTGACCATATGGTAGTCATGTAACAAAACCACTACTGTTTGGTCTGTTGAGCATAATTCTAAAGAAAACATGAAAAAACTTTTTCTTCAGAAAAGGAATTGCTGTTGATAGTGTGTAATTATGTTTTGGTTTGGGAAGAAATAAAAGTTAAAACAAAAACTAATTTATTAAGAATAGTTCAGTCTTATTAGTTGCTGTGATGGGTAGGTGAGTGTATGTAGTATGTTTTTAAAGAAAGACTCTTCCCAAAGGCTTTATCTCATTCTCAGTAGCTCTTCCCTTTTTGTCCTGTACAGATACATCCCTTGCCTCTTTGATAATGGCCAGGATGGACTACTAGCTTTAGCTATTAATCTGTTCCCTTAAAGCTTGTCAGTTTTCTTTTGCATGTGCAAGACAGCACCACACTCATCAAATTGTCATGAAAAAGTCAGTAGTGAAGATGGAAGTTCAGTGGACATTGAACTGGATCTTACCTTAGCTACAAACCCACACAGAAGCAGGAGAAAACCATATAACCAGGTGATGAGGGACTAGCTCAGCACAGGGTCAGAAATGACACCAGCTTCAAAATAATACTTTCTATTTAACGCAAAGGGAAAGGCAAACAAAACACATGAAACCTGGAGCATGTTGTGTAAATAGTAAGGCCCAGGAATCAATTTTTCCAAATGCACTTTGTAACCACCTTGTTCTCTTCAGAAATGCCAGACACGAAAGCTGAAGATGAAGTGGATTTTCTGAGTAATACCAAGGAGAGTTCAGTTTCTGAAGAGGTGGCTGTAGGAAACGTAGCTTCTACGCCGGAGGTGAAACAAGGCCCGAAGACCCAGGCGGTAAGTCTGTATGAGCACAAAGTGTGTTTAGGCTGCTCTGTTGTGTCTGATTTATGGCCTTGCTTGGGGGATTTTTTTTGATTCACAGTAGGATTTTTTTCCCTTTCTCCCTTGTTCCCTCATATACAAATGTGGACATGTTGCAGTGAAGCTTTTGCATAGCATAGTTTTAGAATGGACCCTCCTGCAGGGATCCCTTGGAGATAATAATGAAAAATGCTTTTCCTGTGAGCACAAGACTTTCCAATTTGTCATGAGGTTTAACATGTCACAAGATGGGAATTACCAGAAAAAGGGATCTATTAACCCTTCTTAAACCTGACTCTTCTTTCTTTATATAGAAACTGATAGCAAAAATGAGATTTTAACTTAAAGCTCAATACTGACTAAAATATGAAGTATGTCATTTTTAATGATGGAAAAAAAATTCACTAGGTTTTCATAATAGCTCTATTGAGACATAGTTCACATAACCGTAAAATTCACTCATTCAAGTAAAGTGCACAGTTTAGTAGTTTTTAATATATTTACAAAGTCTTAAAACTGTCACTGCCGTCTAATTTTGTAACGTTGTCATCATGCTGAAAAGAAACCCCATGTTCATTAGCAGTTCACTACCACCCCCCTCAGCTAACGGCCACAAATCTCCTTTCTGTCTCTATGGGTTTGCCCGTTCCGGAACTTCATACAAATGCAATTATAGAATATGTGGCCTTCGGTGACTGGTTTCTTTCACTTAGTGTAATGTTTCAAGGTTCATCCATGTTGTAACATTGATCAGTATTTCATTTCTTTTTATTGCCAAGTAATATCCTGTTGTATGGATATACCACATGTTGTGCATTTGGATTATTTCTACTTTTTCGCTATTGTGAATAATAACTGCTCTGAACATTTGTGTATAAGTTTGTGTGGACATATGTTTTCATATACTTAGTAATGGGTGTGCTGACCCATATGGTAATTTTATATTTAATACTTAACTAAGTTTTCAGAAATGGTTTTCTTCAGGGTCTTGAGATTATTGTTCTTCTTGTTTAAAGCTATTAACTTGTAAAACAGAGAACTTAAACTTGTTGAGAGAAACAGGGTTCTAAGCTTTAGATTCCACACTTGTCTTAAAAAAAAGAACACCTTTTGGAAGCTGAAAAATCGAGTTACTGGCCTAAATCATATTGCCCGTCGGAAAATGAACCTTCCTTGTCTAGACTTGAGGGTGTACTGTGTTTGCTCTTCAGAGGGCTAAGTATTTTTTCATAAAGTTACCCCAGTACATAAACAGAACTATACCCTCCCAAAATGTTTCAAGTGTATGGACTGTGATAAACAAGCTTCACTTTATTGGAGTACAGTGGTAGGGAGATGCTGACTGTTTTCACCCACCCCTTATTACAGATAGTATCCATGACTAATGCCTGGTTGGCTACTTGTACAGCAGGCACTATACAGACAAATATTGCTTTTGCCCCTGGGGAAAGAAAAGAGAACACACCCTGCATGGGTACATGTGTCTTTGTTTCCAGGAGCCCCTAAAAATGGAAAGGAACAAACTCACATCCTTGAATTCAAATGCCTCTGTTTCTTAGTCTTCCATCTGAAGTCTTGCTAATTAGTGTTCTTGAGTGCAGCCTGATGCTTGGCCATAGACCTTTTGCTTTCCCATGAGGATATCTCTGTCCTGACTGTATCTTGACTACTATAAAAAAGAAAACAAAACACTGTATTTTTAAAAGAAAGTACCTCCTCTCCTCGTCTCTTTCCTCTTCTCATTTTTCCTCCAGTTTTAGGAGTTGAGATAGGTAATGTTCCTCTGGTTGGTCATCAAGCCTCATTTTACAGATAAAAGAATTACACCCTCAGAGAGTCACATGGCTAGCTCAAGGTCAGAGCCTGCTAGAATGGGAGCTTGTAGTTTGGTTCTAACCTAGGACTTGCCCAGTGGGGTGCTTTCCTCCCTGACTCTTAACCCCAGGCTCTGTGACTGTGGGTATATTCTAAGGAGCATCAATATGTGAGAACCATGTAATTTGTCTGTTGCTAGGGGTTATCTGTGCTTTGTGTCTGCCTTCACTTAGCGTAGTTAGAGAAAGCATACGTTAATGGAATTTTTAGTTCATGAGGATTTTCAGGTCTACACAGTGGAGGGTTTTGTGTTCACAGCATTCTTAAAGTGACGTGAAATCTGACCACTGACCTCCCCTCCCTGTTGCTCTGCCAGCCTTGCCTTACTTGCTATGGATTGAAAGGAGAAAGCATGGACACACAATTTGATCTTTCCAATGCCCCATTTTCTCTTTTTATCCCATTTAACTTTCCACATGCTATATTCATTGAGAAGTTCCCAAACGTTTTTGGTAAAGGACAGAGAGTAAATATTTTAGGGTATGTGGGACTACAGTTTCTGTAACAACTAATCAACTTTGATGTTACAGTGTGAAAGCAGCCACAGGCTGCCTGTAAACAAGAGTGTGACTGTGTTCCAATAAAACTTTATAGAAATTTGAATTTCATATCATGAAGTAATTTAATATTTTGAAATATTCTTTTTTGAATTTTTTTCAATCATTAAGAAATGTAAAATCTACTCAGGGTGTTTTTTTACGGGCTGTACAAAAACAAGCGGTGGCCTAGTGGTGGTAGTTTGTGGGCTCCTGACCTAGAGGATACTTGTGCTTCAGTGGATGAAAAGAAAGAGAAAGCAAGTAGAATTTTCTTCTTTTCTAAATTGTTTCAGCTTGCCGTGAAAGCTCTGGTTATTAACCTGCACGTAGGAAGGTGGAGAGTTCCGATTCTGTGTTTCTCCTGAATTTGCTTTTTGACTTAGTCTCTCCAGGGCTCAGCTTCCTTACTCTATTCGTCTTCTAGCCTTAACCTTCTGGAGTCTGGGTTTGCAGTCTGAAAAGGGTTACTTGAGCTTGTGATTGTAGTCGAGGGTGGAGTGGCATTTGTTTAGCATTATTTAATTCAATCTTTCAGACACATGGCCAGTCTCTTTGTTGGCCTTGGGAATAAGCCAGTCATTGCTTCACTGACTCATTGTTTCACTGAATCATCCTCTTCCAAATGTAAAACGGGAAAAAACTGTGTATCTTACGCTTTGCTGCTGTCTTGAAAACCTAGAGCATAGGTTCATAAAGGAATTAGGCAGTATCAAGAATAGTGCTTGCTTATATCCTCAGAGAAAACGCATGTGTGTGTTAAATGCTACAGGTGTCTCAATACATGATATGTGGTCCTAATGGATATTTCTTCACTGAATCGAAAACTGTTCACAATTCCAGAGGCCAGGTTTTATACACAATATGGTCCATTCCCATTAGTCATTTCATCAGCATTTTTCTTTCTTTTTTTTTTTGCGGTAAGCGGGCCTCTCACTGTTGTGGCCTCTCCCGTTGCGGAGCACAGGCTCCGGATGCGCAGGCTCAGCGGCCATAGCTCACGGGCCCAGCCGCTCCGCGGCATGTGGGATCTTCCCGGACTGGGGCTCGAACCCGCGTCCCCTGCATCGGCAAGCAGACTCTCAACCACTGCGCCACCATGGAAGCCCTCATCAGCATTTAGTAGTCGTGGTTGTTATTAAGTATTGCCAAAGCCTTAATACTAGTTACAATTTAATATTCAACATTATCCCTTCTTATATACATTCCTGGTTTCAAGGTTCTCAGATTACCTCTTGTAGTCCTCTTTTTTTCCCCTCAGTGAGTTAATATATATCAAGTACTTAGAGCCTGACATGCAATAAGTACTACTTAGCATTATTATTATTAATTAGTTTTATAACTTTAGATTCCAATATCCTTTTTACTAATTTAAGTAACCAGTGGCATATTGTGGTTCCTAAAACAATCAAGCCTCAGGTTCTGCTTCTTGAACATTGTTATAAAAGCTTCAGGAATAGCATCAAATGTTAATTTAAGTTGGGAGACATGGTGCTTGTTTTACTTCTGAGACCTTTAGAATTTGAGTGAAGCTTAAAGATTATCTGAAGTCTAATACCTTTGCTTTATAGGAGGAAAAAAATGGTTTCTGGAAAGTTAAGCGACTTGCCTCATTTTACAGCTAGTTAATTCTGTATGCTAGACTAGAACCTCATTTCTGTGTCCGTAATGTTTCTGCTATACTGTGGTTTCCAGAAAAGTCATCCTGAGGGTATACTTCTGGGGAATTCAGTTCACTTGGGTGGGCTTTTGCATTTTAAACAAGTACCCCTGAATGATGCATACACACCCTAAGATTCTAAAACCATTGCATTATACCCTCGTGCTTTCAGTGATAGTTGGAGAAATTCCTTTGGCTGTTTTAGGATCTAAGCTGATTCACTTTAAAATAAGTCTCACGTTCTTATTATAATTTGTTTAGCTGTAGCTAAGTACCATCAAGATGGTATTTGTCCAGAGAGTTTGCTTTTGATGTACAATTACTAAGATTTTCCAGACCTGCCGTTTATTTCCTAAAGAATGATATGACTGGGTGTAGAGGTGACATTCAATACTTGAGTCCAGAACAGAAAGCTTTCTGGGACCATTCACCTTGAGAATATGCTCCATGGTGACCAGGAAGGAATTCTGACTCCTACTTCCCTGACCCAGTGCTGCAAACCAGCATACTCCATGTCCTCTGTGAATCTTTTCAACATGTGGCCAAGTTCATTAGGAAAGAGCTTGCTTCCCTGGGGTATCTGTTCATTAAGGTATTTCTGTAATAGTTCCTTTTCCAGATGATCATTGCAGAAGCTCATTAGCCATATGGAAGAGTTAATTCGGCAAGCCAGGTATACCTTGTCAGGATGCCCATGGTCCTAGCAGCCAAACACCCAAGAACAAATATGTTCAAGCACAACTATAAAATCCCATATGTTGAGTATTAGGTTACTGGGAAAGTCTACTCTTCATTTAACACACACTCCCCAATCAGAACCATGCTCCCTTTTTAAAAAAATAACTACACAGGGCTTCCCTGGTGGCACAGTGGTTAAGAATCCGCTTGCCAGTGCAGGTGAC